CTTATCACATTCTGTTTCTGCTCCAGGCCCTATTTCTGAATGCATTTTTGCAGTGGAACCTCTTAAACTATGAAAATAGAACCACAAGATCACCCTCCATCACAAACATCAAGTTAATATAAGTGGTCCCAAATAAGAGCTTGCATCAAGTAGTGATATCTAGTTAAATGAACTCATGCTTTCAAAGTGAAAACTATGATTAACTAAATCACTATGAGAAAACATTGGAAACCTGATTTGAAATGTCATTTAGCCCACCCAAAACTAAACTGAGGACCAATATCTGAGGTGTGGGTTATGATTTTGAGTGTCCAGCCTGAAATAACTCTGGTTCAGCTAACAGAGGTACTGAGAACCCAAACTGTTTCTCTATAAGGCATAAAGTATTTCTAAGGGTTCAATGCATGCATCCAGCACAGGCCATGAGAAATGCCTGGCTATTTTAAGACTTTCCTGCTTCAATGTAAGGTTGCAGCCTCTACAACAAGCATCCCAGGAACCTCACTAATTGGGTTGGGGGGGGGGGTTTGGTTTCTTGGTCTCTGATGTCTGTGTTGTAACCCATCCAGACCTGTAAGCTTCAGGCCCAAAGAAGATGCAAGAGGTCACTTCTGATAGACATGAAGATATCCCTGGCAAGGGCAAATGCTCAGCCCTCAGAATTCAGGGAAGTAAGAACACAACATTTGCCAAGATTCTCTTAATACATAGCCACTCTGTTTCATATCAGCACAGAAGAAAGGTTAGTCCTCAGTGACTTCAGTGCAGATAGTCTCAATGAGATTTACAGCTACTCTCAGTTTCCAATTGATAAAAGCCAGTAGTAGAATCTAGTTTTAACATTTTTTATTTGGAGTTCTCAAGTGTCTTTTTGTCTTCCATACAAAGAAGGACATTTAAAGTTTCTATCTTATTTTATTCTCATGGAGCTTACAGGACTTCCCCTACTGGTTCTGCATAATCTGAAACAGCAAACAATAAACTGGCAGCAATTCTTATTTTCCTCCACCTCTCAAACTTCTCAATTCCCAGAGATTCTGGGAATCTCTGTCTCCAACTGTCGACACAGGGAAATTAGTACTGAGATGTTGGGTGGAGGAAGAGTTTCATAAGCAGCCCTTTGGTGCTAAGAAATGCAGTTGGTTGCCAGCTTTCAGACAAGGAGGAATAGGAAAGAAGTGCTTTGTGGGAGCCAAAAATGTTAGAGCAATGTAAAAAAAACATGTTACATCAGATTTAGAACTTCTGCAGTCCTGTATGAGAATAGGGAGGAAGGCAGGTGGGAGGGGAGATGGGAAGGGGAAGCCATAAAAAGGGTTTTTATTCTGTATTTCTCTTACTGACTGATGCAAACAAAGAAAACATGCTAAGATTTTTCTTTAGCCTCCACTACCCTATTTTATTCTCAGGCCTCATCACTGCAAGTTAGCCAAGTTTCAGGCTTCCTGACTAGTATCTGATATGTTCTTGTAGAAACAAGAAGAAAGATAGGTCCAAACAAAACCAAACAATGTGGGGGCAGGTGGTTAGAAAATAGGCCAAGAGCCTTAATTCATACCTATCAATCCAATGAACACTAAGGCTTTGCTGGTATTGCCAACTCAAGTCTTCTACTCAGCTAATAAAAAGCCATTTAACAGGCTTTTTGGGAACTAGTAAAAGAAAAACAGAAAAAGAAAAAAGGAATGGAAACTCAAATCTACATGTTGCCACTAAGGCCTGTCTCCCACAGGAAGCAAAGCAAATGAAAACACAACAAAAATATTTTTAGAAAACCATTCTCATGTTATTGATGATGTGACCCAAGTCATGAAGCAGGACAGTTCTGAGCAAAGCCGATTTCCTGCTATTCCATCTCCATCTCTGTCTGTCTTTTGGCCTTAGGTCAGGGTGTCTCTAGGGACGTTTGAAGTGCATTTTATTTTGAGAAAGTTTGTTTTTCCCGGAAGAATCACAAGGGGAATTCTGAGATATCACAGCAAATCCCATCTGCCAAGCACAGATTTCTCAAGGTGCCTGGACAGCTTAACCTTTTCTTTGCCTGTGTCAGTGTAAAAGAGAGGTGCAGAAGGAAAAAAAAAAAAAAAAAAGATTTCTAACCTATTAATTCCTGTTTTTCTGCTAAAAGGAAGAACTTCTGCTCTGCTTCTTTTATCCCCTCCTTGTAGTAGGCAGAATCCTTTTTTAGTAAATTTTTAACTAGGAATTTGTAACCTTCATTGAATTTCCCAATATAGCCATTCTTGAAAAGAAAAATCAAACTGTGATACAGCTTAAGAAAAAAAAAAAAAAAAAAAAAACCATTAATTTCAAGCTTTGCCTTGAAATCTAGAGAGAAGTTCTTTCCAGAGTTACCAACTGGATTGCACTCATACTGATTAAAAAGAGTCTGATTAAAAGCAGATGGGTAACTTGAATTAGGTTACTTCAGCATAGGTTGAGATCTGACTTAAAAAATCAGAGAACACAAAATCTGGGCTGTTTTGCTGATATTAGAAATAAATGTCCTTCAAGGAAGAAAAACCCAAGCACAACAAAAATAAGACACTTTTCTCTACTGAGGAGGCAAGGCTATTCACATCTGCTTTCTGCACTTCATTGTGTTACTGCAACAAGTACGGGGACAGTTTGTTAGAACCTTAATTTGTACCTGCAACCCAATGAATGCCAGAGCTTCTGAAAAAAAAAAAAAAAAAAAAAAAGCCATTAATTTCAAGCTTTGCCTTGAAATCTAGAGAGAAGTTCTTTCCAGAGTTACCAACTGGATTGCACTCATACTGATTAAAAAGAGTCTGATTAAAAGCAGATGGGTAACTTGAATTAGGTTACTTCAGCATAGGTTGAGATCTGACTTAAAAAATCAGAGAACACAAAATCTGGGCTGTTTTGCTGATATTAGAAATAAATGTCCTTCAAGGAAGAAAAACCCAAGCACAACAAAAATAAGACACTTTTCTCTACTGAGGAGGCAAGGCTATTCACATCTGCTTTCTGCACTTCATTGTGTTACTGCAACAAGTACGGGGACAGTTTGTTAGAACCTTAATTTGTACCTGCAACCCAATGAATGCCAGAGCTTCTGATGGTGTTCTCAACCCAAGTCTTCTATTCAGGTGCTGCAAGGCTATTCAGCAGAGACCCAGAGATGTCCCCCTTCTCTGCTAGAACATAAGCAAGCCCAGTGCTCACTTGGAACTTACCCAAAAGTATTCTCAGTAGATTTAAGTTTTGGGGCAGTAAGTTCACGTTCTCCATTATGTGCCTTTTGTTCAGGAGCTCCCTTCTTACGATCCCAGATACTTTTCATTTCTTCTTTGGGTGCTTTTCCTTTATCCTTGTCATCTTTTACCTGCTCAGGAGATAACGTAAATCATAGAACAAAAACAAGAAACACAGAGAAAAAAAGAAGGGGGAAAAAAAACAGTCACAATGAGGCATTCTCAGTAACAACTAAGGATCACAGATTTCTTGGTGTTAATGACTAACTATGAAACTGTTTTCAAAATGTTTTATGTGCTTTATGGTAGAAGTAGTCTGTAAAGCACTAAAATGTGACACATCACCACTCTACTGTGCTGATTTGAATCTAAGACAAAAACAACTTGAAGAAAATTATCAGTCTTCTGTGAAAATTTGTTGTGGCCATGGGACTATGCTACCACATTGCTTCATTCTGCAACTGCATCCCACTGAGGCATCCCAACCCTCTTCCCTCCCACTGCAGTGTCCTTCACCTGCTTCCTACCAAGATTCTGGGTTGCAAACTCTTTTGGATTAGGCTTGTTGATACATTCTTGCTACAAGGTTTTGGTTTCTAGAGCAATACAATAACACATAAACTACGTTTGCTCAACAAAGTTCATGCTTTTTCAGTGTCATAAGAGACAAACACTTCAGTATTGCAAGAATAATGGTCAAAACACAAAATTATCTTTATATTGGAGTAAAACTTACTCTGACAAAAAGCACAGTCCTACCAGGGGCTAGTAGTGGATAGTGTTATCAGACATGAATATTTCATTCTATGAAGAAGCAAAAGTTCTCTCCAGATACACTAGAACAATTCCCTCTATCCTTACAAAGCTTTTTCCTAGCATTCTCAGTAATAGTAAAGTATATTTACTGCATGGATTTCACTCTCCAGTGTACCTTCAGACTTACAAGCTTGAAGTATTTATCAATACCACAATGGCCTGATCCCAGGATGCTAAGTCATTGACTGATTAAAGTTCTTTATTCGCGGGTTAAATTATTCCCACTCAGTTAGTTAGACTACAAGCCTAAATAAACTTTCAACAGCATGAAATGCAAATGAAACATTTGCCTCCAGAATATTTTTCTGGGGTTTTTTGTTTGTTTGTTTTGTTTTCCACAGCTCTACCCCATTGAAAGAAGATTCTAGAAATAAATACCTTTTGTGAAAAATTCATATGAAGACCTTTAGAAAAAAAAAATATTAAAAAATGTGTTCCATGGAAGCCTGTTGTCATCTCATTTGCTAACTAGGAAGAAAAATAACTTCCACAACAGTCCTGTCTGTGACACAAGTGCTTTTATGGAGTTATAAGCTTTACCTTGAAATACACACAGCCAACCTCACAAATTTCTATCCTTCCTCATCAAAGAAGAACTGTAAACATAATATCTTTACCATCAAGAGATGAGTTCAGAGTCTTCAAAGTTAAGATCCTCCCTGAGGTGTATTAGGCTGCTGAATGAAGTCCCAAAGTCAGCCTCTGACTTTACCTAAGGCCAGTCTGTTTGCTTGCAGAAACTCATTTGATAGACAATGCCAAGGTGTCACACACTACAACAGAGTACTGAGTGGTTAAACTACTTGAGTAAATTTGCCACAGTTGAGAGATGTTGGACACAACCCAGAGAGGCATTTGCTCTGTCCTGAGAGCAGACAGCAGCAGCGCAGACTTTCCTCACCCTCTCCTGCCAACAGGCTTTAGCCTCGACCTGGCAGGAAGGCCCTGATAGACAAGAGGGGAGTTCAATTTCCACGACTGTGCATTCTTTGGCCATGATGTGGTAGCTGCTAGCAAACAAGGCCATTCTTACTAGCAGCCTCAAGGAATAGTTTTCTGTGTTCTAGGAGCTGAGCTGAGACAACTGCGGCTATTCATTGAGCCTAATGAATGCCATCAGACATCTTTTGGGTGCTTCCAGATTGAGCCTAATGAATGCCATCAGACATCTTTTGGGTGCTTCCAGATCTGGGCAAGATTGTAGCTGGTGATCATGTTCACAGCAAAAATCTCTGCTGCCTGTTAGCAATCTTCTAACCCTTCAGTCCCAGTCAGGATGACAGTAAAATCAGTGATGTTGATTGCTGCAAAATTTCACATGCCGAGATGTCTGTGTTGGGATTTGGAGAGCACAGGATTTCCTCTGCTGAGATTTTCATCAAGATCTTTCTAAGTCTCATTAAAAAGCCAATACTACCGGCTGCCTGATGTATTGAAGTCCACTGGGGAGGGTCATATCTGTTACATCTTAATTGAAATCACTGAGAAAACTAATATTAAAACAAAATAGTTAAAAAGTTAACATACTAGGAAATAGCATTTCAGAAGCCAGTAAGATTTATGGTGATGTGCCTGCATGTGAGAAAACCATTAATGCAGCTCAGCCTCTTTATTCAAAAATATGATAAAAGAAGATATTACAGAAACATTTCACAGCTTCTGGGTCCAAGCCTTCTCCTCCTAATTTTAATGCCAAAACAGAAAGTGATTAGCACAGAAGTAGAAACCATTATGTCCCATTCCAAAGGCACACCACAGAAAAAGTCCTTCCCCTTGTCTCATTGCTTCCTGAAATTTTAAGTTAATATAGCTTCTGACCAATTCAGTAAAAAGGACTACTACACTTACTCCAGCTGGAGTAGGCAGGTGAAAACAGTTTACATGCTCTCTCCAATCTAGACCATTAAGTCAAGATGGAACAAGACCAAAAGCATGCTTAGCTAATTTCCAGCACATTTATTTATATTTCAATCTTTTTCTACACTGCTTCTTTCCTGTTAGAGTGTTACACTAATGTTTGAGAGTTGAGATTTCTCAATCAAGGGTTTGATCACCTTCAGACCACACAGAATCAGTTACTGAGGTTGAGGCCATTTGGCACATTTGATTCCTTATTTGGACTCATTTACTTGGGGACTTAAAAGCTGTGGGCATCTGAGTCTAGAGCTTCCATTTAGAGCCAACAGCCATATCCAAACACCATGAGAAAAGCAACTGTTGCAGCACGTCTAGCCCAACTGGAAGCAGGAAATACCAGGCATCTCACATCATGAGAAAGCTTGTTCTTATGAACTTTCCAGGCCACTTTTGAGAATCAAAAACTGTGGGGCAGTTCAGAAATGGAGACAGATTTTGCTTGCTAAAAACTGAACTTTACAGGCCAGATTTTGGTCACATTAAGAAAGTACATATGCTTGTGTTGCACAACTGCAAAAGCAAAATCTGATTATGTAGATACCTTGTATTTTTTCAGAATCTTGTTTGTGATAAACTGCCCTCCTCTTAACTGCAAATATGTTTCAGAAATAGGCTTCATTGAATTTGTATGTCCTTGAGACAGGGTGGAGGAGTGGAGATGGGAGCCTGTTCTTGATTTGGTTTGGAGTCTGAGATTGTAAATTTTTCTTCACAAGTCAATAAGCAACAACTGATGTTTTTGAAACTGAACAAAACATTTTGAATGCTCAGCTGGATACACATGCAAAAAATTTACCTTTTGGTGGATGAGTATTCAGCATTACACTCTAAGTGGGAACTCTCTTAAATTGTCTCAGCTTGATTATCCAAAAACAAAAGCACTAAAAATTGCAAGTCAGTTTTAAAAGTTTTACCAGTTCCCTGGAATAATACAGCCTTGTGGCTGTGGTTTAAAAGCATGATGAGAGCACCAGTGAGAGTTAACTGAGCTCTACATAAAAACATGCAGGATGATGGCATCTCAAATCCTCTCCCAAATACAAATTTGTGGTCAGTTACAGCCTCCTTTTTACATATATTCAAAGATTTTGTGGAACAGAGAATATTACAAGCCAATTCTGTCTTGTGAAGAACTCTTGACATAATCCATCCTTCATTTTTATTTGCCCCACT